ACACACACACACACACACACACACACACACACACACACACACACACAGAGTACTAAATAAACTTAGATTTGGATAACTCAAGACCAAATTTATTAAGTCAAACTCATTGGATACGAGAGCTTGTGTACTTCCCTCGGTGATAGTAAGCTGTATCAAAGCAGGAAATCTGCCTGTGTGTTCCCACCTCCAGATCTGAGGGAGCTCTGTTAGCCTTTCTCCAACACGCATCTGCTGAGCCACTAATATTGTATTAGCACGTCAACAGTAAATCCGTTTGTTGACTTATATATGCCTAGCTATATATGTGTGTATTTGAGCATACATATGTATGTATATGTACATCTTTATATATACATATAAAATCCTAAGTCTATGAATAATCTCTTTTTTACTAACCCTATAATATTATGCTACTGATGTATCTATTTTAGATATAAAGAAATCAAAGGCCAGAAATGTTAGTTATCTTACTCCAGGTTTTACCTATTGATCCCCATCTCATGTTTTTTTTCTTTGTTCTATGCCAATTAGAGTAAGCAGGAATCCACGAACAGCCATCTCTTAGAGGAGCCCAGAGCCTGCTATTACCAAATATAGCCCAAGGATGGTACATGTTGGTCTTTTTGTCACATGCTGGTAACAGCTGTGCTCCTCATGGTTTTGCAGAAGGTCAGAGCTAAGAGAAGTCCCACATGTTGAGTATGGGGTTTGGGACAAGCTAGTTCATCCTTTTGATTCTGTTTTAATTAATTCATTAAATAATTAATCTGATTCTAATTAAACAGAGATAACACCTTCCTGGTGGCCTGTTGAGAGGATGAAAAGATCTCATCCCCCTCTCCTCTCCTCATCTCTTTTCTTCTCATATCCCTTCCCATCACATCAATAACAGAAGTTTCATAAAGAGGGGCTGACATTCTTCACTATCCTTGCTCTCATGTTTTCATAACTGGATAACACAAATGGCTTCTGTTTACATTTCTGATCACTTCTAAAATCTTCTCTTTATTCTGAATGTAACATTCTTCATGAAATGATGAATTCAGAGCATCCTCTTCAACTCTAAAAGCTCTTGTCACTCAAGGAAAATTCTATGTCTCATAGGATGCTACCAATATGCCAGCCTTTCCCAGTATTGACCTCTTGGCTTGTTTTTGTAGGTGTTTGTGGAAATATCTCCAGTGAAGAAAAGAATAGTACAGCAAGTTCTGGCACGTTCGGTACAGATATCCTGAGCAATGGGTACCAGGGAAGAGAGTCAGCACACACATGTGACCAGGACAGAAATACCAGAGGACCAGAAATGGCTCAGGTGCAGAGTTCATCACCCAAAAGCAGGGGCCTCTATCCTCCTCTCTATTGTTAAAGATGCTAATCTTCTTGGTGTACGATCTAGAATCTAGAAGAAAGAGAATAGTCTGTGGAGTCCAGTGGAGCTCCCATATCCTATGCTGTCCTGTGCTCTTTATGTGTCCTGTCAAGCAGCTACAAGTTGCTTAACCTCCTCCCAACATGGGAAGAGGGTCAAGCTACTGACACAGTGTATGTGGGGGGCGGGCAGGGCTCGGTTGGAGTCTCAAGTGTTCCTACTTATTTATTAGAACTATTTCTCGTAATGACAACGGGATTGATCGGTGCTGGGGCAAGGCATGGACCGCTAGGTGTCTTATAATCTTGACTTCTAATTGGTCCTTGAGCTAGTAGCTAAATTGCCCCTTGCTTACCATTGCCCCCTGGAGCAAGAGAACAAAGTGTGGCTTTGGCTTCAGTCTCTGCTCTGCACTGCCTGCTGTCTTCTTAGTTACTGCTAGACAAGTCCCCCATGGCCTCTCAGGTCTACTCTTTTCTTTTACTCTAGGTCCCTTACAGCTCATGTTCATTGGCTATTTTAGTTGATTCTGCCTGGAAGAAGCTTTCATATGAGCCTGAAAAATTCTACCCAAAGTAGGGATAAGTGTGCCATTGGCCATGTGCTGGCATAGGTGGGTATCCCATCAGTGATGAGCAGAGCACCTGCCAGCTGATCTTTACTATGGGATGAATTCCTGGCTTCCATCATCCTCTTGCCCCTCTCAGCTCCATGTTTGGAGTAGCTACAGTATCTACTGCTTCTACCCCAGGCTCAGCTGCTGCTCACTGCTTTCCCTAAAAACTGCCAGAACCTTTGGAACAGGCTTGGTATTAACTCTCCTCCCTGGCCCAGGCTGAGTGTGTAGACTTTCTCATTCTTTCGGAGCTTCTGTTGTAGACAGGTTGCTCTATGTCTCCCATGTTTCTCTCGTGGAACAAGAAGAGTGATGTCTGTCCACAAGGACCTCAAGGATGAAGCCTGTACTCACTAGTGAGCAACTGTTTGGGTTTGTCACTTGGGCCCAAGTATTGGGGAAAATGGTACTTGAGCTTATCACTGCTAAGCTATGGCATTCAAACGGTTTTCATTTTGTGAACCACTTCTAAGGGAGGGCTAGCCATGCATAGCCACAGGACAAGCTGGAACTCCATATACTGCTTCCAATCTAGGTGGGGTGACTACTTCCTCCGGACTCAGTGGCAAAGTTATCTTTTATTCCACAGATAATTGTGAACCACTGTGTATGTATGAGGCTCTGGTCAGCTGCTAATACAGCAAAGAACTGAACAGACAGGTCTCTCGCTCACAGTTCAGAGAAGCATGCTATGGGCATTATGCAGAAATACTGGATAGGGCCCTTGTGACACAGGCATGTTGGCAAGAAAAGAGCATACATGTTTATTGATTATATGTTTTACAGGAGATTTTGTATGGAAAGAAGACCCACAGATACAGTTAAACCGAGGTGTATTCTATAGGAGGTTTGGTGTAAATGGAGAATTGTAACTAAGCAGAAAGCATAAGTCAACTGGGGGATATGTAAAGAGGCTATTAGTTTGATTCTCTGGATCCCTGGCCCTTAGCCTTTGCAGCTTCCTCTGGGCACAAGGAAGGTACTTCTCACATGAGGACTCTATGTTGGAAAGATTAGAAAATCCTTGGTTCCAATAACAGACTTCAGGTTAGAAGAGCCAGAGGAGGCCAGAGATTTGCCTACTCACACTGCTTCACAGGTTCCTTAGACTAGGAGTCATTTTACTGAGTGGCTTTGTTATGATGTCGTATGTTCTGTCCCCAAGCACTAAGGTCTGGCACGCAGTAGGGCTCTTTTATTGTCAATATCTTCTTAGTTGGCCATGATGTTCATTCACATAGCTCAGGCATGATGAGCTGGGTGTAGCTGGACTCAGAGGCTCACCCCTGGAATCCCAGCATTTGGGAAGCTAAGATCGGAGCTGGGCATAGTCAAAGAGAATAATAATGATAACAATAGCCACCTGCTTATGTGTTCAACAGTATCCTGGGCACTTTATATGAGAGATCCACGAAAGCTTGGTGACAGCTATATAAGGTAATACGGCTGTCAACTCCTCCTAGAGTGTTTTTATCCAGGGCACAAAGAGAAAAGGATTGTGCTAAAACTCCAGGGAGTTAGTGGTAGATCTGAGTCCGCAATCCAAGGTGTTGGATTCGAGAGCAGAAACCATGTTCTCAGGCTGCTATTTAGAAGGCTCCCTTCTTGCAGGACTCAACAGAGGGCTCTGTAGGGTAGGAAACCTGCAAGGTGGTTTTAGGGGCAGTTGAGAGGGGACTGAATGTCTATAGGACCTACACCATCAGGTTCTTGGAACTTGTGACCAGCTTTGTGGCCAGATAACCAGCGGTGTAGTGATATCACATGTCCACTTTGGATCTCATCCACGACAGTTGTTTCATTCCGTAAGATTCAAGGAGTGTGGAGCCCTTGAAATACCTGACATTTCCTCTGTTCTTTACCAAACTTTCCCAAAGCTCTTCTGTTGAAATAATGATTTTTAGTTTACTTCAGCTTATTTATTTTCCTGTGAGTTAATAGTATTTTGCAACATGGACCAGGAATCTCAGAATATAGAGCACATAGAGACAGTGGAGTGTGGACAATAAGGGGAGCATTTTATGTCTAGAAGCAATGGTCAGTTAGCTTAGCACAACCCGTGGAAACTCCAGATGTGCCCCTGAGCTTATGTGTAGCACAAATAATAAAAATTCAGAGACAGATATTGGGTTCAACCTGAAGATCAGAAAAGCAAAGCAGCCAACCACTAGCTCTTACCTTTACCTAAGACCAAAAATGGGCAATCCTGCCTCCACAAATCCTCAGACTGAGACTGAGACCCACCTCCTATTGCCTTGTATTCCTTTCTATTTCTGGGATTAAAGGCGTGCACCATCACTGTCTGGCCTCTATGGCTGACTAGTGTGGCTGCTGGGAAATAACGGTGTGTGCAACCACTGCCTGGCCTGGATGGCCGACTAGTGTGGCTGCTTTGCACTGACCTTCAGTCAAGCTTCATTTATTGAAACACAAATAATATACTACAATACTTATGTTTCAGCCAAAACTTGGTTTGTGTTCCAGTTTTTTCTATACTAGCTGCATCTCTGAGGGTCCAGCTGATAATACTCCCGTTAATCATATCTACAAGAACTTATTACCACAAAAGTTATTGGTTATGTGGTTGGGAATCTCCTTGCTAAGAGACTCAAGCCCCTTAGACAGCAATTCAGCATGGGCAGGTGGGTCTCAACATCACAGTTGTGCCAGATTCTTAGTCCTTTCTGTTGCCCTAATAAAATGGGTGAATCACAAACAATGGTTTATTTGGATAGTGATTTGGCGGCTGGGACGTCCCAGATGGAGAAGCCGTATCTGGTGAAGGTTACTGTGTTGTGTCAAGTATGGTGGGAGGCCTGACATGAGGGAGAGTGTGCATGAGCGTGAGAGATAGAAAGAAAAAAATGGGGACAAGTTCCTCCTTTTTACGCATAGCCTCTTCTCACAGTAATGCACTCATGAGGCTTCATGGCATAATCACTAAGAAAGTTTCATCTCTTAATTATATCAATTGCAATTAAATTTAAGGGTGATTTGTGGAGGAGATGTTCAGACCACAGCATAACCCTGGTCATAACAGGTGTTCAATAAATGTCTTCTGAATAGTTGAATGGATGAGCAAGCCTTACATAGTTATTGCCACAAGAACTAAGGAAATTGCCTGGTACATGGTACGATCTTTTTCATAAACCCCTCAGCTACTGAAAATCAACCATAACATGGCCAGTCTTGCTAAGAATGGTCAGAAGTCCTCCTGAGGTTTGCTTTGCCTCCAGGGGTTGCTGTAGGTCTGGTAGCCAGCATGCTGCACTTGGCTGCCATTATGTGCTGAGTGATAAAGGAAGGACCTGAACAGCTCCAGTGCTGACATGGATGTTTGCCAAGTGAGTGCAGATAGGAAGTCTCTGCATTCCTTCAGTCCCTGCCACGTACCAGGACTTTCACAGTCACGGGTAGGAGGCACTCTCGGAGGCCAGTTATATGGATTAGGAAATGGGGGCGAGGGGGTCCGAGAGAGTCCTGCAAGGTCACATGGGAAGGAAATGATAGAGCTGGAGAAGTCTCTCTGGGCTCATGCTCTTGCTGGGGGCAGTGCTGCTGGCTCCTGGTAGCGAATGAGAACTGAGTATCTGCAGAGGTAGGGCATGTGCTTCATGGCTTCGTTTTTCTGTTTGTTTGGGACAGGCTGCTGGTTATTGTCCTCCATCACCTCTAGAAACCAATGCTGGCGAAATCTACTTTGTGGAGCTGGTTAAAGAAGATGGAACCCTTGGATTCAGCGTGACAGTAAGACTTTTTAGGGAGCTTGGAAAACAGTAAAACACCATCCATCCAGAGCCTTGGAGGGCATTCTGTCCCGATAATGCGCTCATTGTGTGTAAGGGATAAACTGAGCTTTCTGTCGGGAGTGAGACTCGAAAGTCAAACTGGGAGACGGAGCCACTTGAGGTTGTGCTGTGGGCAGGTTCTGAGGAAGAGCAACAGAAGAAAGGTGAAGGGAGAGAACCTGGGTGACACTGTCTGGCTTCAAACTTCAGCTGGACAGCAGAAAGAGGCAGTAAGCCAGAGCTTCATGGATGGAAACCGAAGTTGAGTGGAAAACTCACCGTCCTCCCAAGGAAGATGGAAATAAACTTGTGCTCCCTCTTTCAGGGGCCAGGGCAAAGTTCAGTCTTTGAGGTTTTCCATGTGTCTGACATTTTGCCTCTGACTTTTGAGCTCTACCGGTAGATGTCTAAGGAAGCAGATTCCCCGTGTAACCAATCACCTAAGGGTACGCTAAATGGTGTCTACCAAAGGTGATGCACACAGATTCAGAGGGTTGGGGAGGTGTTGCTTGCATTAGTGAACAATGAATATGACCCATTACTTAAGACCTTGGGAAACAGCTGGACTTCAGGAATGCCATTGTTGAATTCAAAGAAACAGAGTGGAAATTTCTAGTGTATAAGGAAATGTCAAAGGTAGTGAAAACTTTCACAGGTAACCAAGTAATGAGGGAAGAGAGCATGCCTTGCTTCCCTTGTGCATCTAGAGCAAGGATCCTTGAATTGTTGAAACCACCAGCAGAAGATTTTTTAACACTGGGAAACAGGCTCATGCATCCATAGGGACTGAACAGGCTGGGACTAAAATGGCCAATTTATTCTTGGCTTGATAAAACAATCCCATCATGAGACACCAAACACAGCAATTTCTCATCTAAAAAACTTGCTAAAATTTAGATATTCAGATATATGCATATGCACATGCCAACAGGAGATTGGTGATTTCTCTGGGCTAGCAAAAACACTGATTGTCTCTGGAGAAGTTCCATTTAAAAATAATCATTGAAATGTCCCCCTTAAATCCAAATGGCCATTAGACAAATAAAAGGCATTGAAACCCATGAAAAACTACTGGATGATACAGGCAAGTTAAAGGGAAACTTTAGAATTTGTAGCTGTCACTTTAGCCAAATGTAGCTGGTGTGACACAGAAGAGGGTACTGTCACACTGAGCTGGTGGAAATGTGAATCATTACACACACGTTCACGTTAGGACACAAGCTGGCAAATCTACTGAAATGAAAAAATGCACATATTCTGGGCCCACAGACTCAGAAATGTGGATCCCACTGAGAAAGGCTGGGCGTGTGAATGTGTCGGGTGCTGTGTTGCCATCAGTGACAAGCGCGTGGAGACACTGAGTACAGATCAGCTGAGAAGAGGTTGCTTGCTCTCTGGCACATTACATGGAATCTGAGTTGGTGTCCCCAAGACAAAGGAATCAGTACTAGCTCCACCCACTGGAAAGGTTTCCTCCAGGTATTCCTTGAGAAGAAAGCCATATGGAAAATATTGACTACGAGCCTCGATTTTGCACAACACGTAACCTAGCAGACCTGAATTGGTCTGTGTTTGTTAATCAGATACAATGGCTACTAAATCACATGACACAGACTTAAATCTGTTTCCATGGGATGGGAGAACTGCATGGTTTACGTGCAAGTTCAGTATGCTTTTCTAAGCCAGCTGAGGAGCTAGAGAGGTAGAGGACCAAAAGCCTGGGGTTCCGCAAGGAAGGCCAGGCTATGTGAGCTCACAGCAGCAGCCAGATCATGAGCAGATCGTAGGCCCCTTCCAGGTGATTGGCCACTTTGAAGTTTTGTGTTAGCATTGCTAGAAACAGAGTTTCCGAGGAGTCTTGAGCCTTGCATAGAATTCCATTGGCCCATAGTGCCTGCTAATGAACTTCTACCACTATAACGAATACCAGAAACATAATCAAATTACAGAGTGAAGAGGTTCATTATGCTCTGCGGTTTTAGAGGCTTCAATCCATGATTGACTGGCTCCTGCTTTGGGACTGTGGTACCATATCATGGTGTAAGGATGGGATGGATAAAGCCACTCCCTCATGGCCAGGAAGTAAAGGCAAGAGGAAGAATGGGGTCTCATTAGCCTCTTTAAGAGCTCACTCCTGTGACCTAAAGACTTGCCAGTCTGCTCCACTCTTGCAGGTTCCACTGCCTTCCAGTAGCGCCGAGTCAGGAGCCAAGCATTAACACAAGGCCTATGAGGGACAGTCAAGATCCAAACTAAAACAGAGTGGCTCAGCTGGCTGACTCGGCTGTTCATATTGAATTAGTATGGAGAACAGCAAAGAGAGGTGGATGAACACATATTCACTATAACTGTGTTGTTAGTAGTGATGTGTGAAGTGAAGGCAGGGAAAGAGTAGGAGACTGAACAGGAATGAAAATACCATGGGTAAAATATCAGTCTATATGTGGGTTTACCTTTATAAAGTAAATGGGAATAAAGAAGCAGCCTTGGAGCTTGATCTTCTGACCTGTAGTTTCACACTCTATTATCAAGTCTTTAAAAAAACAGATTGCAGAAGCAGGCACAGTGGTGCATGCCTGTAACTTTACGATTTAGGAGGCAGGAGAGGACCTGCCTCCTAAATCAATGCTAGCCTGGACTACATCAAGAGATCTTGTCTTAGAATAAAAAAGAAAAGAGTTGCAAGATACTGAGTAGGTTAAACTTATTTTTCCTCCTGAATTTGTGCTCACAAACATACAAACATACAGGGTATGCTGAACACAAGTCCTCAGCCCTTAGGGCAAGCCTATTTACGCTGCTTGTGGCACACAGATCTTGTGTACCACACAGGACTCTGCTTGTGCCCCCTGTGGCTTGGCTTGGTTTGGTTTTGTCACTCAGCCTGTATTGCTATGGTTTGTGTAAACCTGATCATCTTGTTCACTGGGAAGGAGAGTTTGTTGGGGTGTGGGCTAGATGGTCGTGGGAGAGGTGGCTTCTCTTGGGAGGGAGTTTGGGAGGCACCCCGGATGGGACAGATGGGTTTTGAGCATTGTCTTGTGTTTTGTAGGGTGGCATTAACACAAGTGTCCCGCATGGAGGAATCTTTGTGAAGTCTATCGTTCCTGGGGGCCCAGCTGCCAAGGAAGGACAGATCCTGCAGGGTGAGGGCCATGTCATGCTGGGAGTTCTGCTTTTTGTGGTTTTGAACCCTGGCTGAGAAGGGCAGCTCAGGCCTTGTTCATTTCAGTTTTAGAGCCCCCTGTTTCTCCAGGGCCTGGGGTCTTTGCTTGGGCAGGGTAGGGGGTGGATTTCATCTATTTTACCCATCAGATCAGTTGGCAATGGTCTAAAGCCTATAATAAAAATCAAGTAGGAAACTTAAGAGAAGCTTGTTTCTGGGGGAGGGCATTGCTTCCTTAGGAGGACAGGGCCAATACCGGTGACACCACTTTAGCATGGATAGCATTGTGACCTGTGAGCTTTCTCTATGCCCTCCTCCAGAAAAAAAAAAGAGCTGGCACTGGTGACTCCACTTCAGGTGGGGAATAGCATGAAGTGCCCTTCCCTAGAAAGCGACTTGGCATTGGTGACCCCACTTTAGAACAAGGGCACTGTGAGTGTTTTCTCTGGTCTGGATCATTTCTTGTTGCTCTGAAGGAAAGAGTGGTTTTTCTTCCCCGAAACTGTGCAACTGAACCAGAAAAAGCCACTAAAGATTTTATTTATTTCTGTTTCCCCTTGAGCTTCAGTATTTCTAGCATCAGCTATTGTTTCCCTGACCCTGTTTTGAAATCGAAAACATCCTCGGGATATAAATATTACTCCGAGTGAGTTGAAAATGTTTTAAAAAATAGTTTCACAGGAGAATGGGAGGAAAGATAAGGGTGAAAAGACCTGGCTTGGCCATTCTATGAGCCAATAATAGACAGGCTTTCAAGTCCTTGCTCTGTCGTATGCCTCAGGAACAGCCCCAGGGGCACAGCTGTCCAGAGAGGCAGCTGATGCTCAGGCTCTTGCAGGGTCCTGCTGAGCCCAGGGCCACCTGGCAGTTCTGCTTCCTACCCCATAGGCAGGAGTCTCACAGAGAGTTCTTTTAGCATCCCTGGGGCACAGGGCACATGACCAGCACTCCTTTTCCAGGTGACCGGCTCTTGCAGGTGGATGGAGTGAGTCTATGCGGCCTCACTCACAAGCAGGCTGTGCAGTGTCTTAAGGGTCCTGGGCAGGTGAGTACATCATTCCTGGGGGCCTTTCCTTACTGCCAGAGCTTCCCAGCAGTTGTTCCAGGTAGGAGTGAGGCAGCCGAGAAACAAAACAGGACTTTTTTAGTCTCCTTCTCCTCCTTTCTCACTCTTCATCTCAACACCATTTTTTTTTTCTTTGAGAATGTGAAAGCCAGGAGGTGGCAGACAGATGTTCTAAAGTAGAAAACCTCACACCCTTTAAATAGATTTGGAAAGCGTATAGTTGCTTGCTTTGATTTGGGCCTCAGACAGCAGAACAGAACTGAGGAAGAACACAGGCTCCTGGTGTCTGGCTCTGGCTGTACCCCTGCTTGTGCCAACCCCATTGACCAGGGCCAGCACCTGCAGTCAGGCCCTGACTCTTGCACACTTTGCCCACAGTGACCCTCAACTCCCTGATCATGTCCTTGTCTGTCACCCTTCACGTACTTATACCTATCAGGACTTGAGTTGGGTAGTTCTGGGTTTCTCTTCACTGCAGTGAGGTAGAGATTCAGGATACTGGGAACTAGAGGTGCTCAGTGCACTCTGTAGTCTGTGTGATGCCCAGGCAGAATTCCAGGATTGTTACAGGGCTCTGTCGTCTGACTCACATGGGAGCCCTTTACTTGTTCGGCTATCCAGAGCCACTTATTTCTATGGCTTTCTCCTGGTGATAAAGGAGTTAACAGGGAGAGAAAAGATTTCAGCTGCCTTCTATTCGACTGCCAGGTACAGATTAAGTCTCGCCTCATATCTTAAGAAGGGCTCATAATTAATTAGCACCATCTATTTATTAGGCGCTCCTTATGTACATGGTTAGAGAAAACATGTCTGGACGCCTGCACAATGACAAGTAGGAATTGCCCCTGTGGGCTCTTGGGCCTGGTGCTAAATGACAATGGCAGCAGAATGATGGCGTCAGGGTGAAGTGCCCCAAATGGAAGCTTGGCACTTCTAATAATCTTCCTGGTGATGTCCAGCTACTGCAATCGAATCATTTTGGATAATGAGAGCATGAGACGCTGTGGGGAAAAGGATAAGAAATCAAGCCAGGAAAAATAGAGGAGGGTCGATGAGCTTGGGCCTGGGAGACCATCCCGTGGTTTGGGATTCAGATAATCGGATCTACTGGGGACTTTTAACGGATCATTGCAAGTTCAGTTTTGTGTCTTAGACCAGTCCACTCATAGCCATGCTGGGAGTGAACCAAAGAAATGGAAATGGACCAACAAGCCAGGTTAGAGCTTGCTGCAGTGTCCCTGGCAGTGGAGGGGGAATGGAGAGGTTCCAAGGGAGTTACTTTTGCTGGAGAACTCATAAACCTTAAAACCAAAGGAGCACGGAGGCAGAAGGGGGAGAGCTGGATGACTCCAAGTGTGGCCCTTGAGATGCTAATGGGGGATGACTCCAAAGGCCAAAGGATCATATACAAAGGGAGGAATACTTTAAACAGAAGGAGGAGGGAGGGGAGAGCAAACTAGGGGCCAAGGAGGCAAGCTTGCCACTGAATGTGCTGACACTCATCACCTCCAGCGGCACATGTCTGGTTACAGTTGCATCTGCCAATCTATACCCCAAGAAGGGCAAGGCTAGATTTGAGAAGCAAATAGAACAGCTTATTGGAAACAGCAGAAAATGAAGATGCCTCTGTGGTTGCTGTGTGATGTGCAAATTGAGTCTGTCCACTCATCTTTCTAGGTGGCACGACTGGTCTTAGAGAGGAGAAGTCCCAGGGTTGCGCTACCCAGTCCTTCTGCTGATGACAGGATGGGAGATGTGCACATGGCTGTTTCCCTGGTAACAGCCCGGTCTGGCAGGCCTGCAAGCTGTGTCTCAGTGACAGATGGTAAGAGGAGAGAGAATTGAGTGTTGCTATTGTCTTCATCATGGACTGCTGTAGAACTGTCAGGTCAAAGGGGAAAGATAGGGAGGCTTCCTCTGGGTTAAAAAAAAATGACAGCAGTGTGGCTCATGAGCATTGTCCGAGCTGGTGGGGATGTTCTTTGAAAAACAAAAATACGCTGTGCCCACATGATTACCACTAATAATTCTGCTCCCAAGCCTTGTGCAATTTCCTGATCACCTGCCTGAATATTCATATCTGTACACAAATATTTAGGGATGAAATGAACGTGAAAGGGTCAGGAATTTTCAAATACAATTGGTTCTACATTCCAGCCAGGCACTTGCAACAGAGACATCCTGGGACTGGCAATCAGGAAGCTAGCCCGGTTAGTAGCATCCTTTAGACACCCTGGGACTGACATGGCAATCAGAAAGCTAGCCCTGTTAGCAGCATCCTTTAAAAACTCAGAGCTGTGACAACCTAGAGGGGCACATTGCATCTCTTGCTGGGTCGCCTCCCTGCATGTCCATGTGATTTTGTTTCCTGCTGGGAAAGGCCTGTGTCCACAGAACACCATGGGTTGAAGCTTACCATATCCCACTCCTTCTGTAGTGGTTGCTGCGGCTGAGCTATAGGAGCTGTGAGGCAGGTTGGATGCCTGGTGATGCCTTCATCCTGAAATCAAGGCGGCCTCTTCTCCCCCTGACTCCTCCATACACTCACTCCAAATGGAACCTTCAGACAAGGAGTTAAACACGGAGCGTCTGAAGCCAGTGTGGCAATGGCAGACACGCTCATGCTGCAGACCTCATTCTCTGCTTCAGTTATTTCCTTTCTTGCTCCAATGAATATGTGCAAGCCAAGGCTCTGTCACTCTGTTCACTGCTTACCTTCTCAACTAGTGAAGACAAGCCAGGAGAAGCCAGGAGGCTCCCTTTGGTTCCTAGACTCCCACCATGCCCAAGGCTGCGTCCATCTCTGCAGACCAGAAGAGACTGGTCTTATGGTCAGTGTTCATGGCCAAATAAAATAGCAGGGAAAACATTCTTTAGAGTTGACTGTCATTGTCCTTCTGATCTGTTTACGTGAAACTTCATGTTGCATATACAAAAACAGGATTAAGATCCCACATCCCGATGTATATGTAATGCAAGCTTTCCTGGATGCTATAAGCAGACAATGTATGTCTAAAGCTCCATCCTTACATATAAATTTGGTTGTTTATATTTAAAGACCTAGTATGGCAAACACCTGTCATGTGTGACTTACTGTTGAATGTTTAAAACATTGGGATTAGTGGGACTGGGTGTGAGTCAGGAACCTCTGAGGGAGCAGACCCGAGTCAGAGACCTCTGTGGGACTGGGCCAGAGCCAGGAACCTCTAGGGGAGCAGGCCCAAGCCAGGGATATCTGTGGGAGCAGGCTTGAGCCAGCGACCTCAGTCAGAGCAGGTCTAAGGAAACAATCTCCACAGGAGCAGGTAAAAGGGAGTCACCACAATGGAGTACTACACAGCAGAAAAAAATAATGACATCTTGAAATTTGCAGGCAAATGGATGTATCTAGAAAACACCATATTGAGTGAGGTAACCAGAATCAGAAAGACAAATATCATATGTACTCACTCATAAGTGACTTTTAGACATAAAGCAAAGAAAAATCAGCCTACAATTCACAATCCCAGATAACCTAGACAGCAAAGAGGACCCTAAGAGAGACATACATGGGTCTAATATACATGGGAAGTAGAAAAAGACAAGATCTCCTGAGTAAATTGAGAGCATGGGGACCATGGGAGAGGGTTGAAGGGGAGGGGAGAGAAGATGGTAGGGAAGGGGAGAAAAATATATAGCTCAATGAAAACAATTTAAAAAAGAAAAAAGAATTTAAAAAAGTAACAAGAAAAGCCTAAAAAAAGTAAAAATAAAAAAATTAAATAAAAACATTGGGATTGTGGCAATCCAAATGCAGTGAACTAAGGTTCAAAGATTTAGTCTGCAAGAAGAATGAAGATGACCTCAGTCATCTTTTGTGTTGATTGTATACTGATGTGGTAGCCATTTAGATATGTAGACAGTCTCTAATGTAGAGTGATGAGGGTGTGAAAGTCACACACCTTCAGAGGAGACCATGCTTGAAACTTGGGTCTCTCATTATGATGTTGGAGTGTGGTGATAAGATGTGGCTTAGAACCACAGTTGCCAGGGAAACTGCAGTGGGCTGTGTTGCTATACTAGGATGCTGGGCAGGTTAGGTTCATTCAGTGCACTCTCAACATAGTCTTTCTCATAGATAACCAGGAGTAATCCCTTTGTAAATCGAGGAGCACCTGTGTTGAGTTAAATGCAATATATATTACTTTACTTTTTTTTTTTCACTTTTAAAAGCATGTAGCAGCTGGGCGGTGGTGACACACACCTTTAATCTCAGCACTTGGAAGGCAGAGGCAGGCGGAACTCTGTGAGTTTGAGCCTGGTCTACAAGAGCTAGTTCCAGGACAGCCAGAGCTACACGGAGAAACCCTGTCTCAAAAATACAAAAATAAAATAAAATAAAAATAAATAGATAAAAGCATGTAGGTACTTGAAAGCTTTGAAAGGCCCTTTATGGTTTGTATTTACAATGTAGATTCTATCTGTGGGCAGCACAGAATTATCATGTGTGTGATGGACTTCATCATCGAAGTTAGCGCATGAACAACTTCTCTGCAAGACAGAAGCCATCATCTCCATGATGATTCACAGGTCAAGATCAGTTAGCTGTCACCCACCCAAGGGTCTGTTTTCATGAATCCCCCTGTTACAGGTACTACGTTTGAAGTCAAACTGAAGAAGAACAGCAGTGGTTTGGGATTCAGTTTTGTGCAGATGGAGAGAGGAAACAGCAGCCATCTCAAGAGCAACCTTGTTAGGATTAAGAGGCTCTTTCCTGGGCAGCCAGCTGAAGAACATGGAGCCATTGCAGCTGGTGACATCATCCTGGCAGTGAATGGGAAGCCCATAGAGGGCCTTGCCTTCCAGGTGCTCAGAGCCCTAGGGGTGGGGAGCACAGATCTGGATGGGAGCTGGGGGTGGGGAGCACAGATCTGGATGCAAGCTGATATAACTCTTTTTTTTTTGTTGTTGAGGGCCATTCCCACAGAGAATCCTTTGGGCATTTGAACCTAGGTTTGGAGCCTACAGAAAACAATTAACAGGATATACCCATATTTATTTTCTGTCTCCGTTTTAAAATATATGACCTTAAGTAAGCATTGCTTTTCAGTAGGCCCCTCAGTGAACCTGAACCTGAAACCTGGTTTATGTGCTGGCTAATGGTCAATCTGTGTACATTCTAGGAGGTGAGGTAAAGCTGGAGGAACTAAAGAGGGTCCCTTTCCACTCTCCTTGAGATTTGTGCGCCGAATTTATAGCTTTGCCTGTATGATGTGGCATAGACTGTCCCACCTGTGGTCAAAAATATGAGGGACTGGAGAGATGGCTCAGTGGGTAAGAGCACACACTGCTTTGCAGGGGGCCTGAGTTTGGTTCTCAGCACCTGTGTCCAGCAGCCCACAAAGTCCTCTCACTCTAGCTCCAGGGGATCGGATCCTTTTTTTTTTAATTTGATCCCTGCAGGCACCTGCATTCACATGTACATGCTCATACAGAAACACACACGTGTAGACATAATTAAAAATAAAAATAATATGTTAGTGAGGGTGGGTGGGGAAGAGAGAGAGAGAGGAAGACTTGTAGTACAAAGTCCCAAGGAAATGTCTGTGTTAGTTGGAGTATTGGCAAAGGACTATTATTGCAGGGGAGAGGGCTACTTGTTGGTCCCGGCCACCTGGCTAGCTTATGCTCAAAATAACCACACAGAAACTGTATTAATTAAAACACTGCTTGGCCATTAGCTCTAACTCTTATTGGCTAACTCTTACATATTAGTTTAACCCATAGCCACGTGGCAGAGGCTTACCGGAGATTCTAACCGGCGTCCATCTCCAGCAGAGGATCCATGGCTTCACTGACTCTGCCCTTTCTCCCAGCATTCAGTTCTGTCTTCTCCACCTACCTAAGTTCTGCCCTATCAAAAGGCCAAAGCAGTTTCTTTATTCATTAACCAATGAAAGCAACACATAAACAGAAGGACCTCCTACACCAGACTGTCATTGAAGAGACTTTAACAATGGTGTGAGCATGTGATTGGGAAGTTTGAGGTGACTGTAATTATGTGGAGTATAGCTCTCTACCTTTCCTGCCTCGGGATAAGAAGGCACAGCTACTCAACCTTAGAGACAGAATGGGTAGCAAGGGTTCCTTAGCACAGTATGAGTTCTTCACTGGCGGATGTAGTCATTCTGTGATGACCCAACAGAGGAAGCCAGGAGCACACCAACCCCCCTCTCTTCCTTGTCCCTCCCTCCAGCCAAGCCCATGTGGATGCTTCATGCACCCACATAAGCAGGGTAGAGTGGGATAGGGGAGCTGTGCATTCCCTGGAACTGCATGAGTTTAGATGACAACTTCTCATCTTCAGATGTCTGTGTGAGCCAAGTGCAGATCTCTAAGTCACTTCTGGGGAACTTAAGTTCCCAAAGACTGTAGATATGGGGGTGGTGGTGAGGAGACAGCTTTGTGTCAGGAAAACCACAGACTCTACCGATAATGAATCATGAAAGAAAAGCCCAGGCTTTTGTAGACATATCCAGGTTCCAGGAAGAGAGGCTGTGAGTTTTGTGCCATGGTGACAAAATGCGTGAGGAAGCTGAAGTTACAAAGGGAAACTTGGTTTGTCTCATAGCTTCAGGGTTTTGAGTCCATGATGTTTAGTTCCCCTGGCTATAGATCTCTGGTGAAGCAAACATGACGATGGGGAGTGTGGGGAAAAAAGAAGCTTCTCTCCTCGGGGCAGCTGAGATGGAAAGAAAGAGGAAAGGAAGGGGAGGGAGGAAAAAAGAGAGAGATGGGTGTTGTCTCTTGTGAGACTTTTGGTGAATCCCGAGACAATTGTGGTTGTCACAACTGGTATGTGCCGCTGTCATCTTGTGGGTGGAGAGACTAGGGATGCTGCCAAACACCCTTTGACACACAGGACCCGGGTCCCCACAAAGAATTATCTAGCCCCAAATGTGGAGAAGGCAGGGAGGTTGAAAGGTCCTGGTGAAGACGGGCAATGGAAACCATGTTGGCACCATGTGCTCCAGCAGTGAGAGGGCACCTCAAGCACAGGTTCAGAATTGCAGAAGCTTAGGCTGTGTTACAAAGATGAGCAGGTGGGAAAGGGCAGTTTGAAAGACAATGGCAGGCACATGCAGGCTCCGTGATCTGGGTGGTTGGGTTGAGGAGGAAGGTGGCTCAGCAGGAGAGAGCACTTTGGAAAGACTACCCCTGGACAATGTAGAAGGAAGCAGGCAGGGTCTTGAGAGAAGGCAAGGATCCTCAGGGGAGATGAAGTCATTGCAATTCCACAGGGAAGCAACCCTTGGGCCTCAGCCTCATTATGAGGAGATTCCTGAAGTCCTCTGTGTATTGCTGCTGTGAGGTCCCAAATTACTGTTTGTGGCTCCTGACTCCTGGGTATTTGAGGAGTTAAGTTTACAATGGTGTTTTCCCAAGTTTTCTGGGGCCAAGCCGTAGGTCAACTCTGCCAGGGGAGGAGATTTCCTGGGAGCAGTGAATAGCACAAAGTAGAAGCCCCAGTGGGGCAACCCCAGAGATGACTGTGACTGTGTTTCTTGTAGGAAGTGCTCCATTTATTGCGTGGGGCTCCAGAGGAAGTGACGCTGCTCCTCTGTCGACCCCATCCTGGGACACTACCTGAGATGGAGCAGGGATGGCAGGTAAGACACGGGTCCTTGTCTCTCCTCACTCACTTTTTAGTCTAGTGGTCCTGAAATGGCCATCACTACTTTTGGGGACAGGGAGCGGACAACACCAGCCCTTTCCATTGGGGCAAGAAAGCTTCTGCCCATCAAATCTTAGTGCATCTGTCTTCTTCCCTGTTCCCATTGCTCCCATCATGGGGGCCTTCTTAGAGATGTGTAGAAAAAAAAGTTAGGCTTTGGCTATGAAAGTTCTAGGCTGTGTCCTCTGAGCACAGAACCAAGGTGAAAGAATTTCCCTGTAGGAGTATCCACACTGAGGAATAAAATGCATACCCACCCCTCTAAAGCCTGAAACAGACAAGTATGACTGGTGCAGAGGTCAGAGCCATGCCTGTATGCATATATCAGTCTGGTTCTCCAGAGAAACGGAAAAAAGAGAGAGAGAGATGATGGTTGGATGGATGGGTGTGTGGATGGATGGATGGATGGATGGATGGATGGATGGGTGTATAGACGGATGGATGGATGGGTGTATAGACGGATGGATGGACAGACAGACAGATAGGAAACTTATTATAAGGAATTAACTTATATAATTTTGGGGCTGGCTAGTGTAAACTTTACAAGGTCAACCAGCATGCAGGAGACCTGGGATGCTTAGATGGTGGCACAGAGGGGAGCAGGCAGGACAGAGCAGCTGAAGCAGGTGGCAGCACACGGGTGGACACAGGTTCTATGTGGTGAGCTGTATGGTGGAGCGGGTGACAGTCTGGAGGTGGAATTCCTTCTGGACGAAAGCGACTCTTTCCTCCCCAGGACTTCTGCTGATTGGATAAGGTTCTCCACAGCCTAGAGAGTGTGCTCTTTGCTCAAAAGCTACTAACTTGTTAACCACACCCCCAAATACATTTATAGTGATATCAGTTGTGATGTTTATAAAAATATCTGGGTACGCTGGCTTAGTCAAGTGGACATATGAAATGATTTGTCAACTGCTGGGGACTCCTTGCTTGGTCTCTTGGAAACTGGCTCTTTGACAGACATTGGAGGACAGGGAGCCTGTGGGCCTGGCCACTGGAGCATCACCTGTGTGGGTCAGGAAGCTGTCCTCAGCAGAGGAGGAGGTCAGTGTACACACCTAACAGGGCCTTCGGCTGACTCCACGGGGAGCTCTGGAGCTGAAATGGCCTGGCACCTGTCCAGAATAGCACACCCACATTAGAGTATGCAATGGTGGTAAGGATGAACCCTAGCTTTACTGAAGTATCTCCCTTAAGTTGAATGCAGCTGATGGGTGGCCAGGAGCCACCAGCTGCTTTTCCTGAGCGCATGGAGGAAAAACAGTAGTTCTGGTACCACAGAAAATAATGAAGATGCTTTTGGGGTTGCAGTAAGGAGGTTTATCAAGTAGCTGTTTGTGAAGAACAAATATGAGGTCCAGATTAGAAAGCATGAGTACATAGACTTACATAAAGGCATGGAATGGTTGAGCCCCTCCCCTCCTTGGAGCATAAAGAACCCAGTACTGAGAGGCACAGAGAACTGACGCTGAGAGAGGGGTGTGAGAAGAGACCGACCCAGGCAACAGTGGATATCTCCCACAGAGTGTGAGCGAGGCCGAGGAGATGGGGCAAGAGAAGAGGCTGGACCAGGCAGCAGTAGGCATCTCTCAAGGGTCAGAGCGAGGGCACTTCCACTAAGCATGATGTACCAGTTCGAAGGTTGTTACTGAAAGCTGGAGAGGGAAAAGGGCATATATGTGATCTTGGGATTCAGGAAAGCTAAGTTGCTAGAGACATTCCTCTTAAAGTTTGCCACAAAGTAGAGCAAAGAGGTGGACAGCTGGTAGGTGAAGGGCGAATGGAGTTGAGATAGAGATTGACCAGTAAGACCTGTGTGGGTGAGGGAGGACTTTTAATTAGTGTGTTGTTTTTGCTGTGGAGCGGGGAAATGGGAGAACGGTGCTGGGGGCTTGAGAAAGATGGGAGCTCGTCTATAGGAAACAGAACTGAAGCTGAGAAAGGTTATCTGGAAGCCTTAAGTGAGCATTGGCATCTACAGCCACACTGCTAGCATTCGTAGGGCCAGAGGCTTGGCAGCTGGGAGGGCTGTGGTGGTTTCATTGGGAACTGGAAAGAACTTGCATTGTGTAGAGTAACAGAGGCAGAAGCTGAGAGGGGTGCAGGAGGAAACTGGGGGGCCTTCTTCGTGAGGGAGTGACATTAGGGATGCAGAGTCAAAGGGAAAGTGACAATGGAGGAGTCAGGATAGCAAAAGGCATGGCCATCACAGGAGTGAGGGCGGGAGGCTGTCTGGGGCGGAGTGAGAGCAAGACCTTGAAGGGAGACTCAGGGGCTCTCCCAGGAGTGGAAACTGCTCTGTCTCTTTATTTTTTAAAATCTCCTCTGTTTCAGATTTTGATTATCACTATACCCTTTATAATAGGCATAGTCTACCAGCAAGGGACTGTTTGTGACTTATAATTCAAGTGTGCGTCTTTGGGGGTGTTCCTTTCTCTTAGTGGGGTCACATGCTATCACAAAGGCTCACCCAAGGAAGGATCCTTGGTGTGGATATGAAGCTTTCTCTGTTCAATGAGACTGGGGCTGGGAGTTCAGCGTTTGATCTATGATGGAAGGGAGTTGGTTGTAGGGTGAGGATGCTGACCTAATTTTCAGGAAAATATAAAATTCTAATTTCCATACAGTTTTAAATATTCATACATGTATAACCCAGTCAGATATGGAACCAGGCAGATGTTAAAACTATTAAAAATGGTTCAAAAGAGATATCAAAGACCAGTATGTTCATTAATGAAGTTGTACAAAGTTTCTTCTGCACTGTTTCCAACGCCACAAATGCTTTCCCCCCAATTCCAGCTATCTCTCCCCACATTCTCTCTCTCTCCCTCCACTCCATCTCCTGCCAAACCTGATCCCCAGCCCTCCAGTCCACCCATAAAATATATTCTATTTCTTCCTTGCTGGGAGATCCCTGTATCACCCCCACATAAAGCCCTCATTTTTACCTAACTTTTCTAGATCTTCTGATCATAGCTTGGTTATCATTTACTTAACTAGTAAACTGGTAATATCCCCCTATAAATGAATATATACCATATTTATCTTTCTGGGTCTGAATTACTTCACTCAGGTTAAAAAACAAATGATTTTTTTCTAGTTCCATTTGCCTGCAAATTTCATAATGTTCTTCTTCTTCTTCAAGCTGAGCTTTAAATATACCACATTTTCTCCATCCATTCTCCTGTTGAGGTATATCTAGATTATTTCCAGTTTTTGGCTATTATAAATAAAACTGCAATAAATAGGTTGAACAAATACCCTTGTGGTAGAAGGGAGCATCCTTTGGGCACATGTCTAAGAGAGGCATAGCTGGTTTTGGGCTAAACTGAGTCCCAACTTTCTGAGGAAACACCATATTAGTTTCTATAATAGCTGTATGAATTTGCACTCCCACTAGCAATGGAGGAATGTTCCCCTTGTTCTACATCCTCAACAGCATGAACTGTCACTTGTGTTTCTGATCTTGGCCATTCTGACAGGTGTAAGATAAAATCTCAGAGTTGTTTTGATTTGCATTTCCCTGATGGCTAAGGATGTTAAACATTTCTTAATTGTTTTGAAGCCATTTGAGATTTCTCTGTTGAGAATTCTGTATTTAGATTTGTTCCCCACTTTTTAATTGGATTATTTGTTGTTTTGGCATTTAGTTCTCTTTTTTCTTTTTTATACTTTATTGTTTTAAACTGAGCTATACATTTTCCCCCATGCCCCTTCCTTTCTCTCCTCTCCTCTTCAAACCTCTCCCCTGCCCCTCCCCCCATGCTCCCAATTTACTCAGGAGATCTTGTCTTTTTCTCCTTTTTAGGTGGATCCATGTTAGGGTCTTCTTTGTTGTCTAGGTTCTTTGGGGTTGTGGACTGTAGATTGGTTATTCTTGGTTTTATGTCTAAAAGCCACCTATGAGTGAGTACATATTATATTTGTCTTTCTGGGTTTAGGCTACCTCACTCAGTCTCATAGTCTCCACTATCAATGTACAGGGTTTGATGTGGGATTTAAACTTTAGTATTTTTTTGTTGCAAATATGAATGTCCTTGTATTTGGGGCATAAATGTTCAGAATTGAGGCTTCATCTTGATGGATTTTTCCTGTGATGAATATGAAATAAACTTCTTCATCTCCTCTGACTAATTTTAGTTTGAAGTCTATTTTGTTAGATATTAGGATAGCAACACCAGCTTGTTTCTTAGGTCTGTTTCATTGGACAATCTGGTCCACCACACTGCTGTTTATGTGTCTCCTCCTAGCAGCCTGCTGACATCTAGTTCTTTATGCATTTGAATATTAGTCTTCTATCAGAAATAGAGTTGATAAAAATCTTTTCCCAAACTGCAGGTTTCCTGTTTGTCCTATGGACAGTGTCCTTTGCCATACAGAAGTTTTCAGTTTCACTTGAGGTCCCGTTCATCAGTTGTTGGTCTTAGTGTTCGTGCTATTGGCATTCTGTTGGGAAAGTTGTCTCCTGTGCCAGTGCGTTCAATGCTACTTTCCACTTTCTCTACTATCAGGTTCAATGTGTCTGATTTTATGTTGAGGTCTTTGATCTCTTTGGACTTGAGTTTGGCACAGGGTGATAAATATGGATCTATTTGCATTCTTCTACATGCAGACATACAGTTGGTTCAGCACTATTTGTTAAAGATGCTTTCTTTTTTTTTTTCCCAGCATGTAACTCTGGCTTTATCAAAACTTAGATGTTCGTATGTGTGTGGATTTATGTGTGGGTCTTCAATTCAATTCCATTGATCAACGTGTCTGTTTTTTTGCCAACACCATGCAGTTTTTGTTTCTATAGCACTGAGGTACAACTTGAAGGCAGAAATGGTGGGATGCCAAGCAGTTCTTTCACTGTTCAGGATTGTCTTAGCTTCCCTGGATATTTTGTTTTTCCATAGGAAGTTGAGAATGGTTCTTTCAAGGTCTGTGAAAACT